GGTCCACCAGAGCTTAGATTTGGAAATCATCCTGGCAGATTTCCTCCAGCTCAGGGTCATCATCAATATGAGTTCAGATAGTCCTTCGGTCACTTTGGTAGATAGTAACCATGTTGTGTACAAAAACTGACGGAAATTAGTGGAAAGGAAATTCTTTTCTTGAGGGAAAATAAATGGTTGCACGATCCCTTTTTCTGGATCTCATCGCTTCGTTGCTGGTGCTGCTCCCTGTGGACTGCTGAGTTTTGTCACAACATTGTGACAGTGCAAGAGCAATTTGTCTAGAGAAATCCTGCAACTGACGAGCAAAATTTTTCGACTTGTAAGCTTTTGGATGAGGCTCACAATGGAGTTTCTTCAAAATTTTGGCGGGTATCTTAAACCAGCAGAGATACATTTTACCTTCACATTGCAAATTGTATCCATCCAGGTGCTTAACTATTGGCACATTGGAATAGCTGAACGCAGTTATATAATTTAATTTGCTTTTTTTTTTCCGTGCGTGTGTTTTCACGTGTTGGTCTTGCATCCTGGAGATACGCATGACTCATCTAATGAAATTTAGTTGTGCAGTGATTAATATTGTCAGTTCATAGCGAAGATCTCGTTCCAGGGCCAACACCAAGTGTGTTTGTTGAACCGAGACCTCTTCTGTGTTCTTGTGAGGTATGCGGGTGGACTAAGCAATAGTTACATCATCCTTCAGTTCTAGTTTTCTGTTGTACGACGCGTTTTTCCCCCTTCTCCCTTTTCTGCAGGCCATGGCAAGACTTCCCAAGTTAATGAAGTTTACAGGGCAACTGTATAGCATTATTCTTTTCTTTAACAATCATAAAGTGTATCAGTGACACTTAGAAATTTTCTGGAGGTTTCGACATTTTATAGCATCGAAGGCTATTGAACGTCATGCGGGGCAGAATTCAGTCTGTGGTCCTATGTAATATAGTGATCTCACTGTATTAACATTGATTTTGTTCTTTTTTGTGATTAGTGTTGACTATATTTTAATGTTCTGAGAGTTGAAAGCTGGTCTTCATCTGAATATTTATTTCGTGAAATGTTTTTTTTTTTTTTTTGAATTTCATCATGGAGTGTGTTGGTGGCAATACGATTTCACGCCCTTCGGCCATGCAGTTTTTGATGAGGATGTTCTTTATCTTATAGAATGTGAAAGTGCTTTATGACAGATAATTAAAGGGAATTGATTCCATAACCTATAAAAAAAGGGTATGTTATTCCACTATAAATTTTGTATTATTACGACGATATAAAGGTTCAAATGTCATTCAAACTAGAGATGCGTGGATGCTGATTGTAGTTCATGAATGAAGGCTCATCGTGCTTGTGTTTTAAATATGAAAATAGTATAAGATTAACTGAGTTGTTAGTTTAAAAACAAAGTGTAAAACCCCATAAATTTGAGTATATTGTGATATATAATAATAAATATGTTATAATATGATAAATAATATATTTTGATGTTTGAGTATGTTAGGATTAGGATTGATTTGAGATCAATCCAATGTATATATATGAGCTTAGAAGAGATGCATGCACGAAAACATGCAAAAATCTGTATCTGTGCTGTTAGTAGTCGACTACACTGTTAGTAGTTGACTAGTAAGGCCATTAGTCGACTAATAGTAGTATTAGTTGACTAGTCGGACTGTTTCCAAATTTCTTATGAGTTTCGAGTCGAATTTGTTTTGTTTTAAACGCAGTTGTATATATGCGTACATATACTCGTTTTAAAGATCTTTTTACCCTCTTTCACGTGAGATTAACACCAGCCACCTTCCTCCTCAAACCTAACCCTAAAGTGTGAGTTTTGGGAGAGATCTCGAGGTGTTTATCGAGAGAAAGGCGAGACTTTGCGGTTTTTGACGAAGAAGGGATCTTGCACGCGTGTTCAGGAGTTCAACACAGCGTTTGAGACAAGATCATCTTCATCCAAACCTGTTCCTATAATTAGTTAAAGTTTTGAAGATGTTTAATTGATGTTTTCATGGTTAAGTGTAACCTAATGTGAAAAAAATCAGATTTGTGATGATAAATCTTAACCCTATGCTAGATCTAAAGTTAAATCTTTGTTGTTGATGATAGAAACATGATCATGATCATTAGGGTTGATGTTAATTTTATTTTTAACTTTTTAATTATGTTTAACTTATGAGTAAACCCTAATTAGTTGTTTAATTCAGTTTTTTTGTTAGCTAATCATGCTAAAACCCTACGTTCGTGATACCTAAGTCATATAAACATGTATAAACGAAGTTTCACATCTGTTCATAAGTAGTTTTTCATCAAGTGTTGATAATTATGTTGTTTAATTAAGAGCTAATTGAGGAAATTGATTAATTAGGATGTTAATCCCTAATTAGAACAAGTTAATAGATTTGTTTCATGTTCAGGATGATTTCTGTTGAATATTACATGTTTTCATTTGTACTAAATCTCATGATAAGTATATGATGACTGATAAGCTCTGTTCGTGCATGAAAGAATGCATGTTTTGACAGAGTAGTCGACTACTAAGTTTAGTAGTCGGTTATTCATGTTCAGTTTGGATTTCCAAAAACTGGAAAATTACAGAGTAGTCGACTAATATGTTTAGTAGTCGACTACTAATCCTGATACATACCTCACAGAGTCTGGATGGACTCAGTGTAATCGACTACTAAGACTTTTTCTGAACATCGTGTTGCACTGTTTTGAGATGCGATCGCGGGGTTCGAGTCACACGATAGTACACGAATAGATATGAATATACATAAATAGTGTTGTAGTACACACATGCGTATTCCAAAGGGGATTTTAATAAGTGTTGAGATGATTACACTTGAGTTAAAGATCGTTTATACACATGTTGGATATCGTTGATGAGCACAACTCAGTACTATATGAGGTAGTGCGTCGATATACCAAACATACACAGTTTATACACGAGATGGATATTGTTGATGAGCTCAGTTCAGTACTATGTGTGGTGGTTCGTCGATATTCTATTTGTACAGGCCATTGAGTCGGGTTTGGATGCTTTGTCTAACAGTCCGTCCTCACGGGGGTGCGATGAGGCTTGTGAGTCGTCTCTTAGGATACCTATATGGTAGGTCGTCCCGCACTCATAATACGCACTGAGATTACGATGAGACTAATGAGCCGTGTACACTGTTGTAGGCAATAAAAATTATCTTTAATCCCTATCAGAAAAGTTCAGAACAAGACTGCTAAACCCTCACCCGAAAGAGCAAAAAAGGGAAAAACACTAATATCTCTCAAACCGTAAGAAATTTGGTGAAACAGAGGAGGCAAACCCCTTTTGGGGTTTGGTTGGACCCATCTCGTTGAGATAGGCGATTTGCATATATAATTCGTCCAATTCCGAGTTACGGTTTGAAAGTTACGACCTGTTCTTCGTAGAATGTTCTGGAGCTCGCCTGAAGAGCAACCCCACCTGCAAAGAAGTTTAGCTCGCCTGAAGGCTTCAAGCTTTAAGCTCGCCTGAATGAGACTGGCTCGCCTGCACAGCCTCACCTACCAAGCTTGCCTGCATATTTGAAGCTCGTCTGCACAAGACAAGCTCACCCGACAGTTGGGAGCTCGCCTGTATGACCAAAGCTCGACTACACGCTTGAAGCTCGCCTGCATGTTTGAAGCTCGCATGCACAAGGCAAGCTTGCTCGATAGCTAGGAGCTCGTCTGCATGACCCAAGCTTGCCTGCATGATCCAGTCTCGCCTGCACAGCCTCGCGTGCAGAGCTCGCCTGATAGCTTGAATCTCGCTTGCATGATCCAGGCTCGCCCGAAGGCAAGTTTGCCTGCACAGCCTAGCCTGCAGAGCTCGCCTGACAGCTTGAAGCTCGCCTGCATGATCCAGGCTTGCCTGAAGACAAGCTTGCTTAATAGCTTGAAGCTCGCATGCATGATCTAGCCTCACTTGCAAAAGCTCGCCTGCACAGCCTCGGCTGAAGGCCAAGCTCGCCTACACAGCCTTGCCAGCTCACCTAGCCTATCAGCCACCCACTTGAAGCATGAGAGCAGTCAAATCCCTTGAATAAAGGGATTGGTTATCCTCATGACTGTACCCAGCACGAAAATAGTCATTTCCCAAGATTTAAGGGATTTGGTCATGATTCTCCTCATGGCCATACTTAGTATGGGAATGGTCACTTCCCATGATTTAAGGGAGTGATTACACTCTCCTTATCCTCTATAAAAGGGCATGAGCAGCCATAGAGAAAAGGTCTTAGGACCCGACCTCTTGAGGACGAATTACAGAGAACTCAAGACCATCTTGGATTTGAGATCAGCCTTGTTCCAGGCACTGGTCTTTGGAGACCGGACTTCTTGTCATTCAAGAAGACTGAATTCTTGGCATCTTCGACCTACAAGTATAATCACTTGTTTGGCCTCGGTTGATCGAACTCATCCAATCAAGCTTCTATTGTGCACTGAAGCTTCAAGCACTTGTTTCGCCTCTGTTGATCAAACTCATCCAATCAAGCTTCTACTGCGTACTGAAGCTTGCCCGCAACTTTGATTGGATCGTCCAAGGGAAGCAAACTCGGTACGAGCACCAAGGGAGGCATCCTATCGCTTCCAAAGACCACACGTTAAACAAGGAGGGAATTCCCTCCGCTTCTGTTGTAACTTTGATTTATTAGTTTGTAATAATCTATTCTTATCAATACAAACGAAGTCCCCATTTCGGGAAATCAAATTTTACACATACAATTGTTAGGATACCTACAAGGTAGTCCGTTGCGCATGATAATGCGATGAATTAGAAATTTTACGAAGAGTTGCAATATGACAATTATGTGATAGCATGAGTTTGGTGGATGCCAAAAGTGAATTCGACTCATTGTTGAGATATTTGATGACTAAGATATCTTATTGTGGAAGTACACGAGATAATATACTGATGGTTATTTCGATTCTTTATCTTTCCAGTTATGTTTCCTTTCATTCTTAGTTCGGGATTAATATTTAGTTATCTACAATTTGAGATATATGGTATATACATGAGGGTTTACTGGTTTGGATTATTTCACTCGACGTACTACATCTCGTGTAGTAGATTTCTAAGTATTAATATCATCAGATACGGGGAAAATGATCTAGGTAGACTATACTTAATAGATAGAGCCTCTACTTCATCTAGCATCCCTTTCCCTGGGGGCGGATGAAGGTTATTTTGCTATAACGCTCTGACGCTCTTATTGTTGTTATTTTTATTATTTTAAATTTCCTTTTCAGGCAGCTCAGAGTTCCGGAGAGCCGCACTAGCATATACGCTGTCGCACATTTTAGTTGTTGAGACTCCACTATAGTTTTATGTTCTCATTTAGATATTAGAGTTTTGTTTTCATATTGTAAAGGCAGTGTGTCTTAGTACGATTTTCAGTTGATTCATGTTGAGACACTTTCATTATTCCAGATATCAGATGTATTTCAGTTGAGACATGATTTCCATTTATGAGATATCTCTTTCTATATCATGTCTATTATTTTTATTTCATTTTTTGTCTGTTTTGTATCTACATTTATATTTGATTCCACTAGAGGATATTACCGTGATTGGTGAAACGTGTTATTACACAGTGTGGGTGCATGTTAGGTTTAACATCTCTGGTTCACCTTGGACCGCAGCCATGTGTGAAAACATGAGGTGTCACATAAATGACTATATCCCCCTTACAGTAAAACTAAAACTGGGTCGGTTTTTGAAAAAGCAATTCACAAACTTCAGGGGAGTTGAAGTCCCGTGAAGTTTTGTTATATAAAAAATTTCACGGGACTTCAACTCCCGTGAAATTTGGAAACCTTTTTTTTTTCAAAAACCGAC